GACGACGTTCTCCTCTTCCTCGCCAAATTACAACAAGCTTTCGAACTCCACAATGTCCCCGTTATCCACTGGCTTTCCATCGCCATCAACAAACTCGTCAACACCGCCCATCGCTGGTGGATCACCAAATCCGGCAACCGGCACTCCGTCGGTCTTCTTCCCCTCTCCTTTCTCGAGTGGGTCTCCCTCCTCTCCGCCACCTTCCACCCGCGAAAGATAATCGACGACTACATTGACCAATTTCGCAGGCTTCGCCAAAACGGCCCCACTGATCGCTTTGCTCGATATGTTTGTACCCTTCGCCAAAACATCCACCACCACCAGATCAGTGACAACGCTTTTATTTCCTGCTTCAAGCGGGTCTGCCGCGAGGGCATTGCCTCCACCCTCGCCTACGAACCACCCATGTCCTTCACCGACCTCCTCACCCGTGCCCTTCAGCATGATCGCCTTCTCTGCCCCGTTTGCGGTCCCACCACCTCCCGTACACGCTTCTTCCACAACATCTTCGCAGATGGTACCACTGCTGTCTCTTATACACATCTAGATGTGTATAAGAGACAGATATGTTTGTACCCTTCGCCAAAACATCCACCACCACCAGATCAGTGACAACGCTTTTATTTCCTGCTTCAAGCGGGTCTGCCGCGAGGGCATTGCCTCCACCCTCGCCTACGAACCACCCATGTCCTTCACCGACCTCCTCACCCGTGCCCTTCAGCATGATCGCCTTCTCTGCCCCGTTTGCGGTCCCACCACCTCCCGTACACGCTTCTTCCACAACATCTTCGCAGATGGTACCACTGTAGCGTCTCCCTCCGACGACGAGTTCACAACCCCTATCGTTGAGCCCGACACGCTTTCCGACTCCTCTGCCCCGGTGTCCCTCAACTCGGAGTAACTCCACACCATCCAGTTCTTGGGTATGGAACGCAAGGTCCGCATGGCTTGACCATCTTCCTCCACCCAAACCCCCGTCTCAAGAAACTTACCCACACCACCCAGTTCTTGGGTATGGCGCCCGCCTACTTGCAAGCCAACAACAACTGCTTCCACTGCTGGCAGCTCGGACACCAGCAAACAAACTGCCCCAACGTCGGCCAGTTCACTCGACATGTGAAACAAACCTGCGACATCAACTTCTCCATCCACCACAGGACCCGGTCCCTCCTCAACGTGAACTTTGTGCCCTTGATCATGGAGTGCAGACAATTCCACCGGTAGACCCCCAGGCATCACAAGAACCGTATGGCTCGACCATCTTCCTCCACCCAACTCCCCGTCTCAAGAAACTTACAACTGAGGAACGCGCCTACCTGCAAGCCAACAACGGCTGCTTCCGCTGCCGGCAGCTCGGACACCAGCAAACAAACTGCCCCAACGCCGGCCAGTTCCTCGGCGAGAGCAGGTTAACCGAGCACCCATTTTTCAGGCCCATTTATAAGAAAACCAGACAGTTATTTTAACAAGACTTCACACCAATCTATAGAGTGCACTTCTTACGACCCTATCACAGAAAAAAACCCCTAAAAAAAGCAATTAAAAACATATAAAACAGCAAGCCAAAGGTGCATTTCCATGAAATTTGGCCAAAAAAAAACTCGACCAATTTCAAAAATTTCAGAAATCTTAACAGCGCAAATTCTAAAACTCCAAATAACCCCAAATTTCATATACGGCAACTCTATCAAAATGCATATATAGCAAAAACTTGAAATTCCAAAAAAACATGAAATTTGAGCCAAAAACCCTAATTTCAGAAATTTCAGGCCTGAAAACCAGATGCCCCGTTAACCTCTTGTGTTGTACCCTTGATCATGGAGTGCACATAATTCTACCGCTAGACCCCCAAGCGTCGCAGTCTACTCCGCTGCCCCCCTCCCGACGATGTCCTCTATCCAATCGAACGAATCATCACCTCCTTGTGCTCTTCCACCCTCCTCCCCAACCCTTCCTACGTCTCGTTCTCCGATGTTGTTGCGGAACAAACACAACTTGATCGGCTTGTTAAGTTAGGCCTCGAACAACGCCACCTCAACACCATGATCTCCTCTGCCTACATCGACTCCTCCGGATTCCAACTCAAATTCATCGCCGCCTCTCTAGGTGCGTCTACAATCAAGTTCCAGACTCTCCTTGACATCGGAGCTACCGACAACTTCATCATCGACGCTTGTGCCTGCAAAGTCGGTCTCCCTTCCACTGATTATGACTCCCCGATCACCATTCGGCTAGGGGACAAGGACACAACAGTCGTAGTTGACCGCACCGTTCTCGAGACCACCATGATTGTCCGCTCTCTCCGCAGTCAGGTCTCATTTGATGTCATGCACTTGATGTGCGACATCGTCCTGGGAACCCCAGGGCTTGACCGTTTCATGCCCTACGCTTTCCATCCCACCTTCTTTCGCATCACCACACCCCCCGGCCCTACCCTCGACATTCCCTACTTTCCTCCCCCTACCTCCCAACCTTCCGTCACCCCCCACCAGTTTCTCCACATGGCTCGTCAAAACCCCGACTCTACCTACTACTGTCTTGTCCTTGATCATGAGCATCCCAAGGATTTACCTCTGACGGACAAACCCGACCAAGCTCCCCCTTCTGACCCCGCTCTTACTTCCATCCTTGAGGAGTTCAAGGATGGAACCGGGCCACTGTCCCCCTTGTTGACCACTCTACGAGCTCTCTGTTCCCGAGGCCGAAGAAATGAAGCTACAACTCAATGAACACCTTGAAAAAGGCTTCATTAAGCCAAGCTCCTCCACCTTCGGTACAAGTTGCCTCTCCGTCAAGAAAGACGGAACCACCGAACTCCGCATGTGCACAGATTACCGCGCCCTCAACCGGATCACGGTCAAGAACAAGTACCCCCTGCCTCACATCTTCGAGTTCTTGATCACCTCCGTGGAGCCAAGTACTTCACAAAGATCGACCTCCGAAGTGGCTTCCACCAGATCTGCATTCGCGGAGAGGATACTCATAAGTGCAATGACTTGCTGGTTCCAGGTCGCCTGTAGCCTATCTCTGACGAGGCTGTACTCTAGGTAGGGACAAATTCGTAATTTTGTTTGGCTGAGGACTAACCGAGGGACCTGCCTGTATGGAAAATTTGTGAGGGACATATCTGTAAATATAGAAATATGGGCCCAGTACTAACTCGATTTTCCTACTGCTACCCTAACTGCGAACAGCGGACCCGGGCTACCCCTAGGACAGACAGGCCCTATGGGCCTATGCTGATAGACGGTCCTATAGCCTATAGCCGGGTAGGGAGAGGCCCTAGAGGCCGAAACAAAAACGGTACCGGTCGGTCAGTCAGTCCGGTCTAGGTCGGTCTAGGCAAGAGTAGAGTATAGATAGAATGGGGACATCGGTCCTGGGCTTTTGGCAGTTGACACTTCGTGGTGGAAGTTGCTGCGCACACGGTATCAGGTCGTGGTTGCTGATTCCGGTGGTGGAGACAGCGGACATAGCCAGACCTTCGGAGCGTTGACCA